TCTGTTAAAACACCTTTCTATTCTTTGTCAGGTCTGAAAAAGAAATGCCTACAAGTGAAACCACTCCAAAGACTGAGTGAATAGTACAGTTTTTTAACTTAGAATTTTTGTACTCCTTTATTTCTAAGTAATTATTTTGTTTAAAGCAACATCTAATTTATATGGTTACTATTGCAGCTTTACTGTTATTAAAATTAACAACTCTACCACTAATGAATCTTTGTCTCTGATTGGGTAAACTTTGTTCCTGTCAGTGTAAAATGTATAAAATACTCTGAGCCACTCTCACAGGCTATTCTTTACATGCCTTTTGTTTGTATGTTTTGGATATAGTTTTGTCACCCAGCCTATTTACTTTGGCCATAAATAAAAAAGCTGTTGTTTTTTGCAAGCCTCGTCTCAAGTCTTACTCTCTTTGGCATCTCAGTGGCTCAGGCAAACTTCTGGGACCTTACAATTTATTAATATATTTGCAAATACAGATGCACATGAGTAAGGGCGTTAGTACTTACCTGGTACGCCTCTTCTAATAGAGTGGAGATAGAATCCACAACCCTGTCCGTTCTCTTATTGGACTGAGTCTGATTAATAATTAATTAGCCACATATATAACCCGTCTCTGTGAGTGACTCCGCCCATCTTTCGACGAAGAACAAAAATACAGACTCCAAGTGTTATCCAACTTTCAACTTTAGTAACAATATATAATAAACCCAACAATAAATTCCACAATGATACAAAATGCAATGAACAACAATTTCATCAACTCTTTGTCCCAGCAATCACTTAAGGAACAGTCTCCAATCAGGGCGGGGCTGGATGCTATCTCCACTCTATTAGAAGAGGCATATCAGGTAATTACCAACGCCCTTTCTCAATAGAGCTGGAGATAGCATCCACTTATGGGACATACCCAAGCTAGTCCCCGTAGGGAGGGAGAGACTGACGTATCACCTTGCAGTATGCACCGCTTGTAGAACCCTGTGGCCAAAGGCAGCGTCTGCTGAAGCGAATTTGTCCAGCTTATAGTTCTGAACAAAGGGTGATGGGGTTGCCCACGCTGCTGCCCTACAAATTTCCCCTAGGGAAGTCTGGGTGTTCCATACCCCAGAAGTGGCTGAGCTCCTGGTGGAATGGGCCGTAATCCCTTGCGGAACCGGCTCCTCATTGGAGAAATAGGCTGTGGCTATACATTTCCTAACCCACCAGCCTATGGTAGTGATCGAAACCCTCTGCCCCAGAGTGGAAGGCTGGAAAGAAATGAAGAGACATTCCGTCTTCCGCCAAGCCACAGTCCTGTGAATATAGGTTTGAAGGGCCCACCGAACATCTAGCATGTGCCACTGCTCCTCCAAGGGTCTCGAAGGCGAGGGACAAAAAACAGGTAATACAATGTCCTGTGCCCTATGGAACCACGAATTGACTTTGGGACGGAAGGAAGGGTCAAGCCTGAGGACCACCCTATCTTCATAAAAGGTGCACAGCTCTTCTCCAATGGATAGAGTCTGGATCTCTGATATTCTTCGTGCAGATGTGATGGCCACTAAGAATGCAACCTTCAGGGAAAGAAATTGTAGAG